GGCGTAGGAATGTTACTATCCTAGTCCGCAGAAGGACTTTCAATAATACCAATAGCCAAATTTATACAGATACTGTGTGTGACTATGATATTTTCTATCGGTAGCACCGTTGTCGACGGCTCTGTGTCACAGATACTCCTACAGAACAGTTGCTATACCCGGTGCAATCATCGCGGGAGTAGGGATGTCATTAACGTACTTCGCTAAAGGAGTACCGTCTCTCTATCTCACGTACGGACTGATGTTTGGTAAGAACGAACATGTCAGCAGACCGATGGACAGAGAATATATTGCGGCTGTTACCCAATGATTTATGTCGTTATGTTTTCATGTCATTAGAATACTCACGAATGCCTGGTGCATATACGTATTGCACCAGGATTGTGTGGTAAATGATTATCGATCCTAATTAGTTAATTCTTAATTAATTGTATGATCTTTGTCATTGTTTCTAGGGAACGCGAAGTGTGGGTGTGGCGAACCCGCCCACTATAAAAAGTAATATATATTCCTAAGCCCGTTGGTAATTCATTAGTTATGGAAGCAATGGTACCGTATGGAATGAATGGGCAAACTTGTGGATACGATAGGTTTTTTCTGTTTCAAGAAATGCGGTTGAAATCTTATTGAATCGTTCATTATTTCTACGAAATCGTAAATTGAGAGGAAACATGTGAAAAACAACAACCAGCTGCCATTGGTGAGGGGGATTTTTTTTCGGATGCGGGGTTGGGACATTTTAATAAGCTGGAAACTAGGTAAATGGGGAACCTGTAAAATATTTTTGTGATTCGGTAATAGAAGGGGATACGAATGGATCGTGCATGCGCACAACTGGGAAGCGGGAAGACCGATATTGCCATTTTAACTAATAAGAAACGTGGAAATATTTTATACCTGTGAAAGTGAGAATAGACCCCGCCTCTCCCTTCATTGGTATTTGTAAACCAGTATTATCGGACACCTTCCGTTATCTTTCAAGTATGTACCCGATGAATAGCAGATCCTGGCATGATGACACATTCACGTGTTAGTGGTATAATATATATATATCAAGAGTAGATAATAGATATCTCTATTATCTACTCTTGATATATATATATATATCGTTTAAAAACTATTCAGGGTGCAAACCCCTTTCGCATATTAAACAACAGACCTCGTTGTGAAAGTGTATATACAACTAGAATACATAACACACGCGCTGTTATCAAGATACGCGGCGTGTGCGGAGTGTCGAGCAGACATAGCCAACACCGCATCTACCGACTATAATTGTCACAAAAAAAATCGAGTCACATGCCCGGTATCACTCGTTGGTCGTATATATTAAATACTTCCTGCCTGGATCGAGTGCAAGTGAACCGTACTCATACTGGCATACTGCAATTCGCTAGTCATCGAGTTTACAGCCTGAACTACCTTATAGACGTGTGATTAATGTTTATGGCTGAACGAATAGAGGCGTAGATGGGAGGGATCGCCTACACGCGGAGATGCGCCGTACATGCGCAAGTTCAAGTTAGTGAGACCAGTGCAAGGCTATCGGTCTGCACGGTATTTTTCGCGCTGCTTCGCGAGTGAAACAAAATCATTACGAAATAGACGACAGTCGAGCTGAGTTCCTGTACGTGAGATCAAAATACGGTAATTGCAGTGACAACGAAATATGACGAGGTTGGTGCGACGCGTCACGTGTAAACGCCGTGTTATGCCCGTATAGGACCAAGCTACGAGTCCTTATAAATGTCGTCTGCTCGAAGACTACCAGAGGTCACTGTCGGCATTACGGAGAGCGTCTCCAGTCGCCATGTCACCTGCGATTTCGTCAGCATTAAATACGACACGAAATACGAGGTATAACAACCTAGATAGTGTCAGCCGAAAAGTCAGCAACAAAAGATATTGTCTGGGTAAAAGAGTAAAAGAACACGAAGACACAAGCATTCGAAATGGCTGGAGTAATAATTGGAGACAAACCGCCACCAGATGGAGGATGGGGCTGGCTGTGTGCTTGCGGAGGGTTCCTCGTACATTTCCTAACAGCAGCTCAACTAAAGGCGTTCGGTGTGTTTCTCCCCGTACTCACCAAGGAATTCGGTACTAGCAACGCACTGACGGCATGGGCAAACGGAATCGCAAACGCCGCCTTTTTAATGTTAAGTAAGTAACACATTTGTTTGCGTTCAATATAGTTTTTAAACTGTTTAAATTGAGTGCGCGTGTCATTAGCCCGCCATGTGGCCGACCCCATAACGCACACCCGTATCAATATTGCCATCCTTTAGATAGGGCAAACTGGGTCTCGATGAAACTGGTAATGGCGCGTTATATATATATATATGCACGTACGCGCGCCGACACACGACGCACGCCCCGCAAGCGCACGCACGCACGCACGCACGTACGCACGCACGCAGGCAGCAGGCACGCACGCACGCGCGCACACACAACAACAAACATAATACATGCACACAGACGCACACACACATGCACACGCGCGCTCACGCACAAACATACACGCACCTCCTATGCCGATGCATAGTAATATATAATATGCATTTCTGTTTAAAAATATTGTGCAGTCAACTGTGTCTATAACAGCCGCGCTAAGGAAACGGCAATCATAGGCTTTATTATGAACAGATTGTCTTTCCATAGAGATTAGGCGCCATTTTTAAATCTTCCCCTAACGAATATGCAATGTGTAATACGGACGAGAAGAGAAGGGGCAGGGAAAAGATACGAGGAGGTGTAGAAGGGAAGGGAAGGTAGGGAGCAGATGAGGGCGGCAGAGAGGGAGGTTTGGGGAGAAGAATTGGAGAAGCTGGAAGTGAAAATGGTGGGGATCGAAATGTTGGAAAGGACAGCGAAAGGAATAGAGATGAGGGAAAAGGAATTTGGAGAAGAGAGATGCGGCAAGGTGGGTGAGGGCGAACGGTTTGGTAACGGTAGAGGTGAAAGAGAGGAAATGAATAGTGAGAAGCTATAGCGACAGCGGAAGAGACATGCTCTAACACAACTAACCTAATGATAGAATTATGTTTTGGTTTGTCTACGACGCATACATATGAAAAATATTAATGTATTGTTTTATACAGCCAGTTGCAGATTTAAAGATTTCTGAGTAATAATTCAAAGGCAGCTTCAAAACAAATGAAGTATTATTGATCACTGCTAGTGAAGTCACCGATATTATAAAGATAATGAACTTTCTTCACACTCGTTTACGTTATCATATCCGTGACTTGCAAATCAACTAGTCTGCGTGACTAGTGTACACAGAATGTTGATAGCATTTCACTTGACACATAGTATACCGTTGACTTCTGCGCGATGTAACCAAGATAATTCCTGACGTTGAGAATGCGACTGTACTACCATTGTTAGGCAGTACTACTAGATCCTTTACTGAAATGTCAATTACTTCTCGTCATCACGATTACTACATTTAATTTCTATCGACAGCGCCGTTGACGACGGCTCTGTGTCACAGATACTCCTACAGGACAGTTGCTATACCCGGCAATCATCGCTGGCGTAGGAATGTCACTATCCTAGTCCGCAGAAGGACCTTTCAATAATACCAATAGCCAGATTTATACAGATACTGTGTGTGACTATGATATTTTCTATCGGTAGCACTGTTGCCGACGGCTCTGTGTCACAGATACTCCTACCAGGACAGTTGCTATAACCCGGTGCAATCATCGCTGGCGTAGGAATGTTACTATCCTAGTCCGCAGAAGGACTTTCAATAATACCAATAGCCAATTTATACAGATACTGTGTGTGACTATGATATTTTCTATCGGTAGCACGCGTTGTCGACGGCTCTGTGTCACAGATACTCCTACAGAACAGTTGCTATACCCGGTGCAATCATTCGCGGGAGTAGGGATGTCATTAACGTACTTCGCTAAAGGAGTACCGTCTCTCTATCTCACGTACGGACTGATGTTTGGTAATGAACGAACAGTCAGCAGACCGATGACGAGAATATATTGCGGCTGTTACCCAATGATTTATGTCGTTATGTTTTCATGTCATTAGAATACTCACGAATGCCTGGTGCATATACGTATTGCACCAGGATCTATCCCATCTTTTTTCATTGATATCATTCTCTCTCTGTGTGTGCGCGCGCGTGGTTGTGTGTGTGTGTGTGTGTGTGTGTGTGTGTGTGTGTGTGTGTGTGTGTGTGTTTGCATATATGTGTGCGTGCGTGCGCGCGCGCGTGTAGTGTTGTGTGTGTGTGTGTGTGTGTGTTGTGTGTGTGTGTGTGTGTGTGTGTGTGTGTGTGTGGGTGTGTGTAGTTATCACCGCTTCCTGCTACAGTTCTGCAACTCAAAAATGTACTCGTTCAGCTTGGCAAATACCTTTTTTGATTTTTTTTTTAATGATTCAGTATTGATTTATCAAGATCTGTCATAAATTGTATTTGCAGGACTAGGATCAGCGTTAGTCCTAATCCCGTCGCAATCAGCAACTGCGGAGCATTTCGATAAGAGGAGATCGGTAGCAATCGGTATCGTTCTCCTAGGAACCGGAGCAGGAACACTCGTTTGGCCGATCCTCACTGAATACCTACTGGAGGAATTCTCATACCAAGGGGCATTTCTCATCTGTGGTGCGATAACATTTAACCTCCTCGTCTCTGCAAGTTTATTTAGAAATTTTAACAAGAGACCGCCGTTGGACTACAGTTCCAACTCACCTGACACCAACGTTGAAATGTCCACAGCAACTTCAATGCCATGCTCATGGTTCGCCAGGATGCGAGACTCAATTAAAAATAGCAAGCCGATAATGGACAAACGCATTCTTAAAAGATTCACCATATTTATATATTGTATGACGTTATTTTTCGTACAAGTTACCTATCAGTCTATTTTTATTCTGCTGCCCACTCGAGGCGAGGAGATAGCATACAGTGATGGCTTCAGTGCGCTACACTGTGTCCACCATTGGTCTCACTGAGACCCATCTTTCGACTTCCACTGAGCTCCATGTGGGACATCAGCTTCTTGCGCAAACCCACTCGTAGACTGGCTGGTCTAACAGTGTTCATATTTTTCATGAGATTTTTTGTACTTATCAACCCATTGATGCATAGTATGGGACTGCTAGTTATAAACAGCGCCCTTTTGGAGTAGCTACGCGGGCTACACAACGACGTCATTTGTTGTATTGGCCGACATGTCTGGTGTGGACCTTTACAAGGACGCTTTAGCACTAAGGTTTTTGTTTGGCGGTCTTGGATCTCTCGTTGGTCCACTAATTGTAGGTATGTTTGTACTCATTTGGTACATAATGCTATATATTTGCTATATTATGGTACATTTTATTGGTGTAAAGCAACATCCTCTATTGCAGCGTTTCTTAACCTGTGGTCCATGTCCGTGGATGGACTTCAGGGGGCCCGTGAAAAGTTTGCGTTTATGTGCTTATGTGAATTTTTCTGGGGGAGGGGTCCGTAGCTTTCACCAGACTCACAAAGGGGTCCATGACTCAAAAAAGGCACTATTGAATGTGGTTTTTCTTATTTAATGAACTTGCGACAGCCTATACGATATATACGGTACTGAACATATTCGATGTACATAATATATATATATAAATAAATAAATATATATATATATATATTGTATATAATTAGGCTTTTAGATATCAAATGCTGCCACACAAAGAATATTTCGGAGAAGCTACGTTAATAGTTGCTTTACTAAATTAAAGTGCTATTGAAATTAACTTTAGATCGATTTACAGTTTGTCATATTGTGGGACACTCGGTTATTATTACACGCAGGTTGGTTGCTGGATATAACCGGAGACACAAGACTTTCCTTCTACTTCATGGGTATTTCCTGCATGCTTTGTGTCGTCATCCTATGTGGGCTCCTATATTGGCTAACAAGAAAGACAGACGTACAAAGCATCGCCTTAGTCGAACTACAAGGAGACGGAGGTGGGCGATTCACATGCTTATCAGTTCAGATTTTTAATAATTGCCTCCATTCTTGGAATCATTGCTCTCATCACTGGAAAAACAATGATGCACTCTATGATCGCATCGATGTATATAATGTATATAATATATGAATGACTTTGTTATGTAATATATGACGGGTCAGATCCGCAGAGCTAATGATAAATAATACGTCCACGCTCGTATGAAGCATTATACTGACACGTCACGCTTAGATAACGCACTCTAATTTCTCGCCGTCTCATTTATTTTGACAGAGTCGAACATTAGCGAGCAGGAATTGGTGGAGGCCGAGCATGAATGGGTCGATATACTCGATGATCCTATTATCACTCACATGTGAGAGCCTCGCGTCGATTTTCAACTACAACCGCAACGCCCGTAGCGGAAAGTAAACGCTGCTATCACCACAGCATGCGACCTAGCTACCGAGATGCCAGCGTCGCTTGTATCAGTTGACGGCAACGTCTTCAGCGATAGCTACAGACTCAAACGCAACACTTTTAACATCGTTACACTGAGTTTCTCTGTATACGATAAGATAAAGTGATCCGCTGCACCAAGACTTTGTGTGTGATGGCTAAGCTGGTGGACCACGCGCTTCTGCTGTGGGCATCAGCAGTGAATGAGACAAAGGACTGGACCTGAAGCAGCCGGAAGACTACCTCGGTTATAGTCAGCTCCACACAGATGCCGTGCTCTAGCTGTCACTATATCTCGTGTATGGGATACCGACACGTATAGGAATATAAAATAACCAATATACCAACGTTAGTTGATTTTTATTGAAATGCGCCTGGAAACGGGTCAATTCGCCAATCAGGAAGCGGGTCTTTTTATTTACCTTGACTAGGTGTGTCGTAAAGATATCGATGGTTATAAAGGACTGACGCGATGCAGATTTGAAAGTCTTTCACAAGGTAAGAGATTTGTATACGTTAATCATGCACTAGGCGAGAGTTGCCTGCTACGCACGTAACGTACACATGATGCATTATATGATGTGATATATGTGATGGAGCACAATATTAATGTTCTTATTGTCTTTTATTCGTCTTATTTTCCTTTCAATAAAGGTCGTTATGCAATCCTCTGCCGTTTCTTGTTGTAATATATTTCCAATCGCATGTTCTCCCTCTGCTCCTCTACAGTTTCCCTCATATAAGTGTTCGAAAGTTATAATACCATTATGATTCCGTTCCATGATTCCATTCCATTTGATTCTAAATCCACTGGATTTGAGTATGGACTAGTCTAGAACATTGTTCTACATTAACGTAAGCAGAACAAATTTTTTTCTCTATTGGCATTAACAACTTCACATATAATATGTGACCCGCTCCAGCATAATACGGACTAAGTCGCAAGTCATTGTTTTGAGTAATGAAGAGTAGTTGAGTATATATATATATACTCCCATTATTTACTCCTGATATATATATTTTTCCCCCCCTTTTTTGTACTAATGTAATGTACTGTAACGTAATGTAATGTAATGTATGATATTATAATGTAATGTAATGTAATGTATGATATTATAATGTAATGTAATGTAATGTGATTTAATGTAATGTTGATGTAATGTATTGTAATGTAATGGGGATGTAAAGTAATGTAATAATTGGAATCTTTTACTTGAAAATATTCTAACAGTGTTTACTTAATCAAGGCCTAGGGTATGGCTGACTTCGATGACCGCATGGTCCATTCGCCATACCCGTGCAGTTTATACTTATACTGTTAACAACATTTAACTTTTAACCTTTTCTCTTGAATTAAAATATTGTATTAATTTATTAAATTGTACCAAAAACGTTTAGCTCTAACAAAGTATCTTGAATCTTGAATCTTGAATCTTGAATCTTGAATCATGTACGAGAGTGTCTACAGCGAGGGCATGATTTCTTACAACCGTAAGCTGTGTTTTGAATCCGGCCATAATGAATATCAACCAAAGTAGGGGGGGGGGGTACTATTTACCCATCCGTAAACCTGCCTTATATATAGATTCGTAGACAATCTCTACGTACCTGGATGCAAGTTATCGACAAATACAGATATCGTCTATCACACTGTGCCTCACAAACATATAAAACAGCATGGTATTTGCATAGTTAGTTAAACAAGTTCAATGTATCGTATATCGTATGTCGCTCCACTGACACGCATATATAATCCTTACCGCACTCGATCTACCACTGCCACCACTGCGGTTCGTACGTATTTCTACGAGAGAATCATCGGTTGTAGTATTCCAACTAGGGAATAGCAGTTCAGAGATAACGCGAGTTGAAAAAACGTTGTTGAGCGAACGTACATTAAATTAGAGATCACACATTGAGAGACCCGTAACGAAGATAAGGATAGCGAAGCTCAGACGTACATCAGTAATGAACCACAGGAGACGCCATTTCGAAGACACCGCTATTGAAGAAGCCACAGGGCATGATATTACAAGAGCAGTAGATTAACACGAAGACAAGAACACGGATGGAGAAGCAGAACAAGAACAGTAAACCACCACCAGATGGCGGATGGGGTTGGTTATGTGCTTCTGGTGGGTTTCTCGTGCATTTCATCATGAGCCAGTGGCGCGGTTTCGGTGTATTGCTTCCCGTACTCACTGCTGCCTTCGGGACTAGTAACGCACTCACGTCATGGGCAAACGGGATATCAAGCGCCACCTTTCTGCTGCTATGTACGTTGACTGTAGTAAGCGCACGCGCAGTCTATGCAAAACGTTATAAAACGACGTATTTTAATTATTCGCCATGTTAGCTGCATGTGTCAAAATTGACCATATGTTTGATCATGTAAAAATGTTTCACAACCACGTCTGAGTCTTGATACAGCGGTACAGACTCCAAGTACCGGCTATCCATTTCGCCATCTTATGCTATCGCTGTTTAAATTAAATTATGACTTCCTAAACGATGACAAACTAATTTCTTGCCTTTAGCAATACTTTGTTTTGCTTCACGTTTTTGTTACTTTTCGTTTTTATCGATCGACTGACGTGAATGACGTATATAATATTTTCTATCGGTAGCACCGTTGTCTACGGCTCTGTGTCACAGATACTCCTACAGGACAGTTGCTATACCCGGTGCAATCATCGCTGGAGTAGGAATGTCATTAACGTACTTCGCTAAAGGTCTTCCGCTACTCTACCTCTCTTATGGACTGATGTTTGGTAAGAACTTAACAAACAGCACCGCTACGTAGTGATATATTGTTTGGAGGGTCAAACTAACCATACCAATATATATATATATATATATATATATACATATATATACGACAAAGGCAATTTTACGATTACGTATGATTTTCACATTCCAAAATGATAAACAGCGTTAACACTTGTCTCGCTCGTAAAACCAAGAGAATGAAATTCACGCGTTTCCTACAACTAATAACACGAGACGGTTATTATTAGATTATTATTTACTATCTAAATTTACGGCAATATTCAAAACTTAATTATGAATTTTAAAGAATTTTGCAACATGATAATCGAATTCGATGTATGTAAATGATTCCACAGGTTTGAATAATTTATTGATTTAACCATTTAGGACTAGGAATAACCCTAAACATGATTCCGGGCCAATCGTCAACTGTGGAGCATTTTGAGAAAAAAAGATCAACTGCTATTGGTGTTTGTATGATGGGAACTGGAGTAGGAACACTCGTATGGCCAGTCTTCATACAATACCTTTTAGAGGCGTTTTCGTACCAAGAAACATTTCTCGTTTGTGGTGCTGTGACATTCAACCTTCTAGTAGCAGCAAGTTTATTCAGGAACTTTAGAAAGAGACCACCGACAAACACGAGTGACAATAGACAGACACGAGTAACAAACGGCGACAATGGGAGGACCGTGACCGCTAGCATGCCACGTTCGCGCTGCGCCGGGATACGAGACACAATAAAAACTAACAAGCCGATTCTGAACAAACGCATCTTCACAGATCTGAACATAATCTTCTATTGCCTGACGCTATTGTTCGTTAAAATTGCATACCAGTCCATTTTCATTCTGCTGCCGACCCGAGGCCAGGAGATAGCAGACAGTGATGGCTTCAGTGCCGCTACACTGGTGTCTACAATTGGTCTTTCTGAGACCCTCTTTCGACTCCCACTGAGCTCCATGTGGGACATCAGCTTCTTGCGCAAACCCACTCGCAGGCTGGCGGGTTTAACAATGTTTGTATTTGCTATCGGAGTGCTTGTACTGCTAAACCCCTTCATGTCGAATTACAAGCTTCTGGTCATCAACAGCGCCATCTTGGGTGTAGCCACTGCCGGATACATGGTAACGTCCTTCATCGTTCTGCTAGACCTGTCTGGTGTAGATCTGTATAAGGACGCGCTAGCAGCGAGGCTTTCTATCAGTGCAATTGCCTCCTTCGCCGGTCCTCCAATTGTAGGTGAGCTTCTACTCTGGTAAGGCGTCGATGTATTCACGTAACATTCATGATAAACGTGAAGCTAACTTAATTAAGTTAACTTAAGCTAACCGAAGTTAACTTAACTAAATTAAGACTTATTATTTATCACTCATCCACACAACTGTACACTGATAATATCTCACATAACAGTTCTGGTGCCCTAGCTGGTGTGCTTGTGGGACTAGCATAGACGTATGTACCTATATTATATGGACCACCACAGTAGCGCCAAATTCTCAACGAATTGCCATATAGACGATGCATAATACTGATAATATATTATAATGATCTGATACTATATTATAGTGATCAGACGTCGGATTCGTGCTCTGGAATATTGCCATTGAAATAGGGCGAGATTTAATTAATTTGTGTTATTAATAATGAGTGAGCGCTCTTGCAAACTAATACTCAACACACACGTTGCGCACACGCACGCACAGACGCAAGCAAGCACGCACACACGGACGCAAGCAAACGCGGACGCACGGCGGACACACATGCATCATTCAAGTTATATATATATATATATACGCTGTCTTGTTATCGCTCAGGTTGGTTGCTGGATTTAACTGGAAACACAGAGATGTCCTTCTACTTCATGGGTACTAGCTGCATGCTGTGTGTAGTCATCCTATGTGGCTTACTATATCGGCTCATCAGGAAAACCGCTGTTGATGTCTCAGGTATCCCACTTATACGTTTAAACAACAGATTAATGCGATTTTTCTGTGATATTATTCAGTATCGTATACATATTATATCAGTATATTATCAGGAGTAGATAATAGGGGATTCCCTATTATCTACTCCTGATATTATGTATCAGTATGTGATATTATATCAGTATATTATCAAGAGCGTATAAAGAAGGAGACCTTCTTTAAAAAAAACTTTTAAAAAACCTTTGAAAAAGACCTTCTTTATACGCTCTTGATATTATGTATCAGTATGTGATATTATATCAGTATATTATCAAGAGTCCATAATAGAAAAGAGTCCATTTTCTATTATGCACTCTTGATATTATGTATCAGTACGTGATATTATATCATTATATTATGTATCAGTATATACGTGATACTATATCATTATCGTAGACGTTTATCGTTTCCACCCGACCTTTCCATAACCTTTGCTTGTATATTGATTTTATAGCGCCCACCCAAGTCAGCATCGTTGCGTTAGTGGAGGAAGAACAAGAAGGGGATAAATGCGACGACACCATCATTGAGTACATGTAACAGCATGCTCTACGTACGCTCATGATCAGTGTATGATGATGATCAGATATAATAGTGAATCTAACGAGAGCCATAGCGATCCTCGATTTCCCCCACGCCTGCAAGAACTGATGGTCGGCCATTTTGTGAATTCAGAAAGATGACTATAAGTATATTTTATATTATGTATTTATACGGAATTAAAGGTGATCAGTGGTATCAGAGCAGAGAAAGCGCAAACGTGGACTTTGTGATTTTGATTTTGTTTTTTCGAGCCTGTAAGCAGCAAATAATATACGCATTAAACTTAAGCGTTGGACTATTGAATAAGAGAGAGATGGAGAGAGAGGGGAGATGGGGGAGGGGAAAGAGGAAGATAGGAAATGATGGAGAAGGGAGGGGGAAAGTAAGTAGGGAAACAGGGGAGGAGAGAGTGGGGGAGAGATGGAAGGAGCTGTGAGAGATAAGGGAAATACGAGAGAGGGGAAGAGGTCATCAGCATAGCTTAATGAGTAAATATTATGCATATGTCATCGTGCGTGGTTAAATGCGAAATGAAAGCTGACAGACTTGCTATGGGAAAAATGAAAACGTTTTTTGTTCGATGCATTCACGGCAAATTATTCATACCATACATCACTTAGATAGCACAATAGATTTATGTGACGTAAATTCCGGAATTTTTAATAATTTTTTTTCATTATGCTTCTTTATTAGAAAGCATATAAGCGCCATTAACTGGCGAGATCTAGCTATCGCGACCAGGAATAAAGGTCGAAGTGACCAGACAAACCTTTCGTACCATACGTCACTTGGCACAAGAGATTTACGGGACGTATATGCAGGGAATTTTTAATTAATTTTTATATGCTTTTTCGTTTTGTTGTGCAGGATCACAGATAGTGCTAGTAATGGCCCACTGTGTCACTGAAACACAATTCTCATGCGTCGCGGCTTTATGGATATTTGGGAAAATATGTAGCTATTAAATATCGCTAAAGAATCGAATACAAGTACACGATGCGTTCAGATATATAGGGGTGTTTGGATATTTATCGTTTGGAATGTTAATAATGGAAATTCAGCCACACGCACGCACACACGCACGCACATACACATGTCACACACACATACACGCGCACACACACACACGCGCGCGCGCGCGCACGCACGCACGCACGCACGCACG